TATCATCCACAAACAATTAGGACTGACACCGAAGATCCCCTTCGCTTCACAAACAAGGTATGACCGGATTGAGTCTGAGTGTAGCCAAAAGCAATCAAGGCCTTTCTGAATCTGTCAAACCATGCTCTGGGAGATTGTTTCAAGCCATAAAGTGACTTCTTAAGCGTGCATACCTTTCCCTTTTTAGCATCACTGTAGAAGCCAACAGGAAGATCCATATACACTTTCTCTTGCAGATCTCCATTTAGAAAAGCATTCTTCACATCAAGTTGAAACAAGGGCCAAGAGTATGTGGCAGCAAGAGAAAGAAGTATCCGAACAGAGGTCATCTTTGCAACTGGTGCAAAGGTCTCTAAGTAATCAAGAGGAATACTTGAATCCATGTTAGCTGAATCTGGAGTCTCCAAGGAACCAACAGGAAGTGATGTGAGTTCTGTTGTAGTGGAATCAACCTCCTTGTGAAGTTTCTGTCGTGAGTAATGCTGAGAAGCAGGACGCAAAGGAGGTGGTAAGGTAGGTGACACATGAGGGTCAAGCACAGGAGTAGACACAGGGACTAGAACTGGGAGAGGAATGGACTGCTGACTCACTTCCCCAAAACACTCCCCCTGAGAAGGATTCTTTGAGAAGAAGTATGTGGATTCAAAAAAGGTGACATCCATGGTAACATACCAGCTTCTAGAGACTGGATCATAGCAGTAATACCCTCTCTGATTTTCTGCATATCCAAGGAAGACACACTTCTTTGCCTTGGGATCAAGCTTTGAGCGGTGAGGAACAAGGATATATGCAAAGCAGACACACCCAAACACCCTGAGAGGAATATGAAACATCTCCCCCCTCAGGAAAAAGGAGACTGAATGGGGTGCTGAATCCAAGTATACAAGAGGGCACCTTGTTAATCAGATATATTGCTATGAGAACTACATCACCCTAAAACCAAATTGGAACTATAGATGTGATCATCATGCTTTTTGCAATCTCAACAATGTGTCTGTTCTTCCTTTCTGCAACACTATTTTGCTGTGGACTGTAGGGACAACACCATATTCTAACGGATATGAGGCAAGGTGTTTTTCAAAATATTTCATGGCATTGTCTGATTTGAACACCTTTATTCTTGTTCCAAACTGTGTTAGCACCATCTGATGAAATTGCCTTACCAAGGATGATACTTCATCGCGGTATCTCATCAGGTAAATCCAAGAGTATCGTGAGAAATCATCTACAAATAAGCGAAAATATCAATAGCCTCCCATAGAAGGAACATGGTAAGGTCCCCACACATCAGAATGAATAACATCAAAAGAAGAAGAACATGTTTTATTACTAGGTTTAAATGAATGTCTACAATGCTTTCCAAGTTGACAACCTTCACACTCCAGACTTGACAAACTAACAGATAAAAAGTTTTGGAAACAAAAGATTCAAGAAGAAAAAGGTAAATGGCCCAAACGATTATGCCAAAGCATAATTTGACCCACAGACCCTGACTCACTATCTCTGCTGACATGATGACTCTGATGAGGAGGAAGCACATCCAGGAGGTAGATTCCATTCACTTCACGACCACTCCCAATCATCCTCTTTGAATCCAGATCCTTCAAAATACAATGACCAGGAGAAAAAATTACCGAGCAGTTCAGGTTCCTAATCAAACTACTAACAAATAACAAATTAGTGCTCAATCTGGGAACATGAAGGACAGAGGGAAGGGAAATAGAATCACTAATCTTGACAGATCCCTTCCTAGCAATGGGAACATGGGATCCATCAGTTGTGGAGACCTTATTTCTGCCAGAACAGAGCTGGTAAGAGGAAAAAATAGTAGAGCTATGGGTCATGTGCTCTGAGGCTCCAGAATCTATTATCCAAGGAGGTCCCTCACCTGAAGTAGAAACATAATTTGCAGTGACATGTGAACTACCTGTGTGAACAAAGGAAGTAGAGTGGACTCCACCAGTACCACCTATACCTTGCTGTTCGCTTGCTGCTGAACTGGAACTGGCTGTATCCTGCTGGTTCAGAAGTTGCCCTTACCTCTCAAGTTCGGCCCTTACTATAGCAGCTGTAACAGACTCCAGAGCAGCTGTAGTAGGAGGGGCCGGAATGTCACCAGTAACTTCCATGTGAGCATTTCCCTTCTTATTTTTCAGTCTATTCGGCACAAGATGTGGGTGAAGCTTCTAGCAAGTATCTCTTGTGTGTTTAGGCTTCTTACAGTAGTCACAGATCAAATCTCTTTTATCTTCCTTCTTGATTTC